GTGATACACTATCTCCACCACTCGACGGATTACCGATATTTGTTAATCGTTTACCCTGCACATCATAATCTCCATTGCTATCAAGCTTGAATCCGATACCAGGCCGCCCTTGTATAAAACTCATGGATTTGCTCCTTTTACGACCAAATTTATCGATAGTTTCATAAGACATCTTCTACCTGCGGCGACTATATTGGTACTGGCTAGACCATCGACAAGTAACGGACTTTATCAATCCTTAATATATTATGATGTTATATATATATATATATACATTAATAACATTAATAAACGATGCCTTCTTCGCGCAACTCCTCTATTATTGACATTATCTCATTATCGTGTCCAGTGTGGCCAGCCATTTTAGAACCCCACAGTAGTCGGAGGCGGTCAACCAGCTCTTTTGCTTCATTCCAATAAGCATACTCTTTGTGTTGTTTACTCACGACTTTTCTGTATGGTAATGATTTGCTCATTCCTCTACCACCTTTAACTTCATTTAACAGGAGTTGACTCCTCATTTTATGCGGTGTGCCGATTAATGGCTTTATGACTAGCTGATATTTCTTCCTCGCACTATTATTCAAACCTTCTCTGATGTCATAATTCTTATATGGCACTCGTGTAGTCTCCAACAAAGTGGTGTATATTCTTTTATCTTGATCATCGATAGTTCTTGGCACATGTTTCATAAAGATCAAATCGTATAATCCAGTTGTTGCTGGAAACGCTACGCTTCTCTTATTACCGCGCCATAATTCGATTTGGTCTGCAGGAAATCGGATTTCCATATTACCCATTTTCAATTCCCCTGTTTTGGAATCGATGTGAACGCCATATGTTGTATCATAATTCGAGTTATTTTCTTTCAAATTCCTCAAATGCTCCATTATTTTGCCCTGTAAGTCGCTCGCGGTTGTTCCATCTACAGAAGGATACACTGTAATATCACTGCTTGAAATTTGAGACGAAGATGTTGGTGGTGTTTCCAATAGAGTTGTATACTTAGGTCCTCCGTTATGAGGCGATGATGGTAGCGGTTGAAAGCTATTGCTGAAATTCCCAGACTCCCCATGTTTCTTGAACGGCTTCGTCGCTACAGCATTCGCCTCATTACTCGATATTGGTGTGGAATAATATGTCGGGTGTGCTATTGTCAACGTTGAAGGTTTGCTATAACTCTTCGGAGTAGCTGCTGGCATTAGATTTTGCTTGGCTACTGCCGCCGTTGCTGCCGCGGTGATAACCTTCAATGGTTTTGTCAGCGGCTCATAAGCTTTTTCTAACATCATTTGGTTACTGGTGAGTTCGCTCTTGAGACTTTTAAATTTATTCCTTACCGCATCGGTTGCTTCAACAAGTTGGCGTTTGAGGTGTATTTCTGAAGCGATTTCACTACTAGGTGTGCTCATTGTGCTATCCAAAGGTTGAATGAAGTCCATGCAGTTGCTGTTTTAGGGGTATATGAAGCAGTCGAACCCTTTCCTATAACGGCCCTCATGAATTTCACTATCCTTATCTATAACGAGAAACCCGTATCTATCTGTCCAACTTTGTGCACACATTTCTTGAAATTGTTTAAATGTTACATCTGGAGATACATGATCGGAATAAATGTGGTGTAGATTCATATCATCCTGCCTAAACATGATTATGAAGTTGGAATTATCGCGAATCAGCTGTTTCGGCACTCTCGAATACGTTTGTGCTAGATAAAAGCAATCCACATTTTTATGGCGCCCCATTGAGAAATATGATCTGATTACATCTTGTTTTTCACATATCACATCGTCGAATATGAAAATACTGTGTGGCTTCGCATCTTCCGGTTCAACAATGTCCACATTATTACTATATGTATAAAACCCCAGTCCCTTTATCGGTTCCAATACTTTCCGCAAGTACTCATACTTGGGTTGATACAACGATTTTGAATAGAGATAAACATTGGCGAATCGTAAACCATTATCGTTGGTGAGGAGGGATATCATAACATTCGTTTTGCCGCAATTTGATGGGCCGATAATGAGACTGCGTATAGTATTAGGTAGTAGGAATCCATGCCGACGTTGTGTAATTATACCATTTCCTAACCCTACTTTTTCATCGAAGTTGTCAACTCGCAATGTTTCTTGCTGCTGAACAATCTGCATTGTATGATGGTCAAATGCTATATAATGAATCGCAAACTCTGTGAATGTCATTTATATTATGAAGCTGAAGCGATACACATCGGCAAGCGATAACGGTGAAAAAAGTTTTCGAGGAAAGAGGACTGGCAGAGGATTTGTTAATACTTTAATTAATAAATTACCGGTCGAATTACATATTCCCGGCGGCTATCAGTATTGTGGTCCTGGAACAAAGTTACAGAAACGATTATCTCGAGGTGATCCAGGCATTAACCAATTAGATAGAGCGTGCAAGGAACACGATATCGCATATTTCAAGCATCCGAACGATTTATCTGCAAGGCATTCTGCCGATAAGAAATTGGAAGAATCCGCGTGGAAACGTGTTAAATCAAAGGACGCATCTGCAGGAGAGAGGGCCGCATCTTGGCTTGTTACCAATATAATGAAGGGAAAGAGGCGTTTTGGTATGGGATGCAGCAGCGGAGTGAAGAAACGTCGAGTGTCGAGGAAGAAGAAGAATACTACCAAGAGTGGGAGAAAAATTGCTTTTGGGTCCGGCATAGTGCACAAAGTTCGCAATGTGTTGCGACAAGTGGGAAAGAAGGGGGCACTCGCCAAAAACTTGGCCAAGACTTCTCTCATGGCGATTGGAGCTGCTAGAAAATTCGTCAAGATGGCTGGTGGAAAGAATAATATCCGAACACCTCGCATTATACCAATTCCTAAAGTTGGAGGAATTCTTCCACTCATACCCATTTTTGCGGGATTATCGGCATTGGGGAGTTTGGCTGCAGGTAGTGCTGGTATAGCTCGAGCTATTAATTCAGCTAAAGAGGGTAGGGAGCAACTCTCTGAAGCGAATCGTCATAATAGACATTTGGAGGCGATCGCTCTAGGAAAGATCGGTAAAGGAGTATATTTGAAGCCGTACCGAAAAGGACTGGGCATTTACTTGAAGCCGCAAAGTTCAAAAAACTAGCAGGGTTACCTCGAAGGGCGTTGACGGACATCGATTTATCACAATACATAGAGAAAATGGGCGTTCCAAACTTTCGAGGTATATTTATGAGAGATAATCTACCAAATTCTCCACCGCGCCACATAGAATCAGCCATTCTGAATCTCGATGGTATTCGAGGTAAAGGGACACATTGGGTTGCTTATAAAAAACGTGGTGGGGTAGTCGAATATTATGATAGTTATGGCGATTTGCCGCCACCCGAAGAGTTGGCGAAATATTTAAGGAGGGGATCAAAAGCTATCAAAATCGTATATAACTATGACCGTCAACAGGATTACAACACAGTCTGGTGTGGTCATTTGTGCTTGAAATTTCTCTCGTCGAAGAGTGGAAACTACGTATTATAATATGGATAGAAAAAGCATCAAACAAATGGGGCACGCATTATTGGCTTACTCGAGATTACGATCTTTGCTGAAGATGAGTGAGAAACAGCTCGCTGATATGCCGAAAGAGGTTTTAATCGGATGCGCTTCACATGAGATAGCTCTAGTGTGGGATAAATTACCTGAACAATTACGCAACGATCAAGATGTATCAAAATATCGATTTTGTGAGGAGCACCACGAACACCGCCGCCAAGAGGATAGTGACCATTCCAGCGCAGATGTCAATGATGGGCCGATACCAAGAAAAATATTATGCTGCTTTTGTCAAATAGAAGATGTAAATGTGGCAACTAACAATAAATTCGATATTAATGCTTCGCCGAACGAAAACAAGAACATTCTTCATTGTTGCAGGCAGCAATAAGGTTGATACTTCTTACTACTGCTGCTGTATACACTGAAGCTTGTTGTTTGGTTTTTGCTGTGTTTGCTTTTCCAATTGTAAAAAGTTATGTCGCAAACATTCACCATTTCTGGAGATCGCAGTATCTTGAGTGCAGATTTTTTTCCACCAATCGAACTCGATGTGAGGAATACTTACGGCTTGGGGTTACACGGTTTCTATTCATACAACTCTATACTCAATATAGATGAGACAAATAACAAATTAGGTATTTGGTTCGAAGAGGGAAGCGTTGTTCTTCAGATACCACCAGGCGCCTATGAGATAGATGAAATCAATAGAGCAATACAAAAGGCTATAGAGAGTTGGACTCCGCTGAATGGGCGAAATATTGATGATGTATTCTCCCTTCGAGCTAACAATAATACGCTCAAATGTGAACTCAAGTCCGAAATTATGTTAATTTTGAGTATTAACGATTCTATAGCCAAAGTCTTGGGCTTTGAACCGAAATATTACAAGCCCAATGTTTTGCATGAATCCACTTTACCTGTGAACATCATAAAGGTACGATTGATACGGGTTGATTGTAATATCACTACTGGAGCGTACCTCAATGGTGAGGAGGTTCACACGCTTTACGAGTTCGATGTCGATGTGGAGCCTGGATACAAACTCTCAAAGGAGCCGAAAAATATTATATATCTACCAATCAGTCCGACAGGGCGTCAGTCTATCGACAACATCACACTGAGAATTTTGGATGATAATGACCGATTAGTTGACTTTCGCGGAGAGAAGATTATAGTAAAATTGGAATTGAAACAGCTCGATTAATTATTACAACGGTTTGGAAAAATGGGTTTCTGCTTCGGAAACCAATCAAAACGTGTATCTCTCGCTGCAAACCCCACTATTCTACACACTACCGTTAAGAAGAAGTGTAAACGGGGTAGAGGATTCATTCAAAGACAGCTCACCGGTCAGGTAGGACGTCATAGATTATCTGCGAGCGATATAAATTTTTTGGAATCTATTGGTCTGACAGTACGACAAAGACGACGACGAACGAGTAGAAATTAGTGAACAATGGTTGTCACAAGTTCTACTAGCTTACAATTGGAGGTGTTTGATGAACCAATTTTCGATCATTCACTAATTAGCCTACATGAGCATACATACAAACCATATGGTTCACCATCATTCAAGAATTCTGATGAAATCAGGATAGCTGTCAACTTTCAAGATTTGATACTCGATATTTCTGATAGCTACATATATATTGAGGGGAAATTCACACCAGATGATGCAACGAAATCCTGCTATCTATCTAACAATACCTTAGCCTTCCTCTTCGATGAAATTCGTTATGAAATGGGTGGCGAACAAGTATGTATGATTCGAAAACCAGGCATTACTACCACAATGAAGAGCATGATCTCTTATGGAGATTCTAACGCTAAATTTCTTGAAACAGTCGGATGGGGAATTGATAGCGAAAATCAGCCAATTCTAGACAAATCTAGCCACATATTCAGTGGAAAACTACCGCTAAAATATTTAATGGGGTTCGCTGAGGATTATAATAAAGGTATATTGAATGTGAAACAGGAGCTGATACTCATCATAGCTCGATCATTCAAAAACTGCTATATAGGAGAAGTTGATGCCAGTGTGGAGATTAACAAAATCGAATGGAAGATAGGACATATTATGCCATCGGATAAGCAGAGGTTGAAATTACTGAACCGTCTCAATAAAAGTTCTACAGCAAAAGTGAAAATTGCATACAGGATGTGGGATCTGTATGAATTACCGTCAATTCGTGAAACATCTTCAGACATTTGGGCTGTTAAAACCACCAATAGTCTCGAGCGACCAAGGTACATTATCATAGGCTTCCAAAATTCTGGTAACACAGATAATAGATCCAAGGATACCACCCAATTCATTCATGCGGGAGTCAACAATATTCGACTGTATTTGAATTCGGAAGTTTACCCTTATGAACGGTGGAATTTGGATTTTGGAAAAAAGTTAGATGCTGTAGCCTATTATGCATACGATAATTTCCAACGAAGCTATTATGGTAAAGACATGAGCGAACCAATGATGAGTATTGAGGAGTTTAGAAAAAATCCGTTATTCATCATAGACTGCAGCCATCAACCGGACACATTGAAATCTTCAACTGTCGATATCAAGTTGGAGTTTGAGACACGCCAATCAAAATTTCCATCTAATACCAAGGTATATGCGCTCATTCTTCACGATGCATTTTTGACATATAGCGCACTAGATGGTTCAATACAGTTGGGTGCTCCTTGAATACACTCTACAGATCTGGAGCAAATTCTAGCCTCCGTCCACCTCCACCACCACCGCCACAGCCGACCATGAGCATTCGAAGCCTATAATTGTATTAGATCAGTTTTTTCATTATTATTATTATGTTCATTATTATTTATTATCATCATGATTATTATTATTATTATTATTATTATCGACACATGTATCTGCACTAAATTGAATAAAAGTAAACAAATGTTTTACAAATCATCGTTTTTATTTCTTGATTGATAGACAATGAAAAATGCGAGCTCATCATCATCATTCCATAATTTATATATATACATGCAAATGATAATAGTATGATTGAAGCATCTCTTAGCAATATCATCATTTCGATTCTTCTTCTCCTTCCTCCTCGTTGTCGGATGATTCTGGAATTACCCCCAAGTTGTACTTCCGTATCAGGCTGTTTGGTAGGAAATCAAAAATTTCATACAGAAATTGGTCCAAGTCCTCTCCCACCATTGCTTCAAGAAATTCCTCCAAAGTGAAGCTACCATATTCGAACCGGGCGCATAACATATAACCCTTTCTATATTGTTCGGCTTGTTTACAGAGTCGTTCAACTTGTTCTCGATCGAAGCATATGCTCAAATCATAATTTGTCGCATGCATTGCATCACGTGACAAATCAGAGAACTGACATTTCAACCTGCTCACTGCTGATTTGATGTCTTCCGCTGCCGGCCAGAATTGACTAGAATAATACATCCACATGTTGGGGAACAGGAGTCTGTAAATGATAAAAAAAAGTTTGGTAATGATGAGATTATTTGGGAGATTTGTCTTTCATTGAATTCTTTTTGGAACCTAATTTATTACTTACCGCAAACGGTACGATCTGCGTTAGTGGCTTGTGTTAATGTAATAATAATTATCATATAATTTTTAAACCCTTTTCACTAAACTATACTAAAAAAACCTATCAGAAATAATTAAGTAGAATAATTCCGAATTAATTTTGCTTGAAGTCAAACTTGATGAGAGCCCTCGTTTTTGCACCTACATATAATGGCTCACTCTGGCCCAAATATGCTAGAGTATAAAGACCATTTGAAGAATTCATCTCATCAATGTCGCTGTCACTCAGCAACTCTACAACTCTTTTGGGCAACCAACATTTCAGACTAGCCTCAGTTTCTTCATCGTACAATATTACAGAACCGCTCCTACCAAACCTGGTTCCACATAGTGATATTTTCTTGACCACATAGCTTTTATTCAAGAGTAGTGATGAGATAACAGTTTGCTTGATAATATCATTGTCTTCGTTAATTCGATTATTTATCGTTAACAAATCAATTTTAGGAGCTGCCATTATAAATTCTTCTTTGTTGAGTGAAAAGAGGTGTAAAAAGTATATAAATAATTTTTACTTACATATAACAGTTCACGTACACTTTTATTGCAAACACTTTATATTCCCAATCAATTTGAGCGGGTATATTTTTTATGTGCGAGTTGGTGGTGCGTATCTTCCGTATTATTAGGAGAACTATGCTCTCGCAGACGATACAATGATGTATTTATAGGAACTGGGATATGTGACGTAACACAGCACCCCACTTCTACCAAAACGACCTCGACCAGCCTACTCCCATTTTCAAGGTCGCACACGCTTTCACCTCCCTCTCCAAGGTCGAGGTCTCTCTCTCTCTCTCTCTACAACTCAAGGTCACTCGTTCCCAAGGTCACATATGCGAAGGTTACTCGTACAACCTTCCTTCAAGGTCACTTTGTCTCGCCCTCAAGGTCACCTCCGCGTTCAAGGGCGCGCTGTCGATACTTCACTATACGAGGTTACTCCCGCCCAAGGTCAGACCCGTTCAAGGTCACTCCCGCCCAAGGTCAATCCCGCCCAAGGTCACTCCGCCCAAGGTCGGAGGACGGTGACCTAGGGCGGAGAGCCAGAACCGGCCAATCTTTACTACTTATGTTATTTGAAAAAATCACATACTTGCTTTATCTGTATTTTATTCCTTCTCAGGATCTGATTGATTGGATAACTTGCTCTTGAATAATCACGGCCAGCAATACCTTTTTCTCTCACACAACGATATCGTTCACCTCCATTTGATTACCGAGCCAAACACCGTGGAATATGGAGAGGAATTAATAATCGCCATAATCATTGTTGATATGCTCACTAACCTAACATTCTCCACTTCTTTTTCCTATACCTGGAACTGGCACGGTATTTGCTATTAGGGCTGCCACCTGGTCCAAATGGATTCATCGATTCATCGATTCAATAGAATACACAAATGGGTCACTCTGTGGTTGAATTTATGTTGACCACATTCCGAAGCTATGTCGAAAAAACACTGACTCTACGATCCTTGTTCCGGCGTTATGACCACTTTCGATTTTCAACAATAGTTGTTGTTTCGCCGTTTTGACCAAGTATTCGGCAACTTTTGACGTTTGCACGTTTTCCATTTCATTTACACAACCAATTTTGAAAACAATAACCCAGATAACACAGAAACGTCCCGAAAACGTCCTCAAGCCGTACACTTCGGACATTGGAAACGAGGAAACGTCCCCAGAACGTCCATTTCAGGTACGGCGTACCCTTAAAAATTACGGTTTCAAGTGTAACGATCCACTTGGGTGAAAAATCCAACAACAGAAAATTGAAAACACTCACTGGTTATTTTTTCAGGTAATAGGAATTCTCCAAGATAAATATAGGTAATTGTAACAAAGGTCATGTCAATCAAAATAAAATACATTTTCCACAATTTTCTTTCGATCAATCTCACGATAAGTTCATGTTCTGCGGGCCCTGTATAAGTAGGTGTGAAGTTTACCTTCACCACAATTTTTGCCAATATATTTAATTCGAATGGGTTGCTGTAGGTGGATATTTGTTTTTTTTATCCTGGTTTTTGCTTTAAAACTTCGTTTTTGCATAATAAAATCGAATGGGGTGCGAAGAAGGGCTCAGTTGACGACTGGCATCCTTTTTTAACCGGAAGCCCTTCAAAAAACAGCAAAATCGGCTCACAGGAAATATAGATCTGCTATGTATCAAATTCATAGACTCTACTAACTCCGGATCTGCTATGTATCAAATTCATAGACTCAACTCCTTTCAGATCTGCTATGTATCGAATTCATAGTCTCTAGTGGTTTTTATTTTGCTATGTATCAAATTCATAGGCTCTATTTTCGGATATGCTATGTATCGTATTCATAGACTCTATTACTGATGACCAATCTCTATTTGGGGTTACTCTGCTAACTTCTATCATACTACAACACTTTTCCTACCTTTCATTCTCGTCGCCAATATGTAGTATCCCTTTATACACTATAAGGAACTCACAATGTTATTGGTATATTTCACTTTGTAATAAAACACTTGTATGCAATTGACTTCACTCGGTCGTCACCCTATCGCTGTCTAACGCTTACTCTCCTATCGTCCCCGTTACTCAGCGCTCAGGTGATTTCCGTTGATAGTCGTTTATTGTGTAATCAAGGGTGATACATCAACTCATACACTACAGGTATATGCAATTCACCGCGAGGATTTTACTCCATCTAAGTTCAGCAGTAAACAGAGCTTAATTTATAATGATGAATTAATTATAGAAGACAATTACTCTTTCATAAAAAGTATAAGTAGAGGAAAAATAGAAAAACCTTTGATTGTGCAGTTAGTTTTGTATTCGTATATTATAGTCAACAAAATCATCTCTGAATTCGAGGAAATTTTCTTGAATGTTCATAATAAACGGGCATTTTTAATTCTCATTCTCAAATTTCTTTCTGAAAACGGTCATTTGCCTCGTGGCAATGAATGCAGAATTCATTCCAATGATCAAATTGCAACCATCATATTAACATGAACTACAAACACTCTACTTAAAAAGGTAAAACTGCATTTATCATGAAGATATTTGACTAAAAAGTTCCAAATTTCACCTTCTTTTTCACCTGTCTTCTGGATGGCATTTAGAACAAATTTCCCTTCTTTTTTCATCATATTGGACAATTTATATATAATTCAACTATAAATATGATTTTCTTGAGATTAATCCATATTTAGTGAAAAGAAGGAAGAATATCATTCAAAATCATGGGGTGTGTAATGTCTTTCGAAAGCAATCTATTGACATTTGACATCTCGTATTTTGATTGACTATTGATTAAATGGTCGTCATCTGGAATGCTTGTTCACTAAATATGAAAAACTCGCCATAAAAATCATATTTCCTGTTGAATTTTTTATATAAAAATGTGCCATCGAAGTACATCAAAAATTTTCAAAAAAAAAAAAAAACCATCGCATGATAAATGCAGTTTTACCGTTAAAAATTACGGTTTCAAGTGTAACGATCCACTTGGGTGAAAAATCCAACAACAGAAAATTGAAAACACTCACTGGTTATTTTTTCAGGTAATAGGAATTCTCCAAGATAAATATAGGTAATTGTAACAAACGGCATGTCAATCAAAATTAAATACATTTTCCACAATTTTCTTTCGATTAATCTCACGATAAGTTTATGTTCTGCGGGCCCTGTATAAGTAGGTGTGAAGTTTACCTTCACCACAATTTTTGCCAATATATTTAATTCGAATGGGTTGCTGTAGGTGGATATTTGTGTTTTATCCTGGTTTTTGCTTTAAAACTTCGTTTTTCCATAATAAAATCGAATGGGGTGCGAAGAAGGGCTCAGTTGACGACTGGCATCCTTTTTTAACCGGAAGCCCTTCAAAAAACAGCAAAATCGGCTCAATGATGATGTAAAACTAAAATCGAAATACGCGGTCGCCTTATAGCGCTATAAGCGCTTGTCGTTTCGAGCCGCTGGTTAGGCCTCACTAAGTGACGTCACCCACGGAGCATGCAGGCCTTGTTGTATCGGTGGTAACTACCCAGCACG